AATTCGATTTCCTGGAATATTTAGAAGAAACGTCTAGAATAATCTCATGGTCGATCATTACTAAATAAGGTGCGATCGTCCATAACCCAAATTTGGTATATTCCCCGACTGTAATATAACTGATTAGTTAGTACACAGACTGCAGATCGGTCACGGGACCCAAATTTCTTGAATTTCGAGTCCTCGCTAATGCTTCGGACAATGACCCAACAACACATTCATGTGTTGTGTGTAACCAGATAAACTTTTGGTTATCTCGATCTGTAGATGTTGATGTTGATACTACAGCTGATAAATAGATTTCACCTGCAGCTCATTTGATTTCCCAGGGTTCTTTGACTTTCGAAGAACTTTTACGTTAAACTGGCTACTTCCAAGAATTCTACCCCCCATACGATACAAAAAGAAGAGAGTCGTTTTAGAACCCGCTTCATTTTTTTTTCCATTATCGTTGTTGTCATTGCATATCTTTTATCTCATTATCAAATTTTTAAAATGGCTGATACGAGTAAACGTCAAGTTTTGCCTACTAATGTTAGACCAACTCATTACGACTTGACTTTGACTCCGGACCTTCAATCCTTCACCTTTAAAGGAACTGAGACTGTCAAGTATGTATTCTTCAATTTATTTATATCACTATTGGAAATGCTCTGCACTTGTGCATTAGCTAATATATATATATATATACATTGTGTTTTAATAGTCTCAATATAAATCAAAATACAAAAACTATAATTCTTAACGCGAATGAAATTCAAGTTAAGTCTGCAAAGATATCAAACTTGTCTTTGAAAACTAATCAAAGGTACTTAATATGTTATTTAATAGTTATTTTTTAATATATCATTCCTTTGTGTTTTATATAATTTGCATATGGTTTTTGTAATATAGCCAAAATGCTGTAGAAATTTCTCATGATACTCATAAGCAGACTGTCACTCTAACTTTTCCTGAGAAACTCCATGCTGGTGCTAAAGCTGCTTTGCATCTTGAATTTACTGGGATATTAAACGATAAAATGAATGGTTTTTATCGAAGTTCTTATAAAGACAGTGATGGGAATACAAAGTATATTTCTAACTTGATTTTCAATTCTGAAAGTATATCATTAAACCGCGAAATAATAATCATGAACGTTATTTCGAAAATTGGTTTCTTTACTAAATTTCAAAATAACGCCAATGGGTGTTCTCGAAATAATGCGCACTTTATATATTAGTATATGTATAGTAATATACATTGGTGCACTCGAAACAACGCGTAGATGATCAGAATAACGCGTAGATGTTCAAAATAACACTTATCTTAGTTATTTCGCGGTTCTTTTATAGTACGTATTCATGTGATTATAAAATATTTCTACCAATCTTCTTTATTTAGATATTTAGCTACGACTCAATTTGAAGCAACTGATGCACGCCGTGCTTTTCCTTCATGGGATGAGCCTGCAATTAAAGCAACATTCGACATCACTTTGATTGTTCCATCTGAATTGACTGCTTTGAGTAATATGAACGTGGTCTCCGAGACTCCGCATGAGGGTGGCAAAAAATGTGTCAAATTTGCAACAACGCCAATTATGAGTACTTATGTATGTTTTAAATTTTTCTTAATATGATTATTTGGTGCTTTAACTCGTACCAACTCGATTTTAGTTGATCGCATTTATAGTTGGTGATTTGGCTTATGTTGAGGCTTCTACTACCGGCATTCATAATGGTGGAAAACCTGTTTTGGTTCGTTCTTACGCGACAAGAGGCAGCGAACATCTCGGTCAATTTGCTTTGGATGTTGCTGTGGAGGTTCTGGAATACTTTGCTGAAGGTACTGACTGATAATCTTGCTCTGTATTTTTTTTTATTTTTTATTTTTTTTTTTAATGTCACTTATTTAATCCACACTTATTTATTATTTACAGTTTTTGGCATTCCATATCCACTGCCAAAGTGTGATATGGTTGCTATTCCGGACTTTGAGGCTGGTAATATCTTATCTGGTTGCAATATGTGCATTTATCTTTATATTAATATATATCATGTTCTCTAATCTAGGTGCTATGGAAAATTGGGGTCTTATTACTTATAGAACTTCTGCTATATTATTTGATCCTAAAGCATCCGATGCCAAATTCAAACAACGTATTGCATACACTGTTTCTCATGAGTTAGCCCATCAGGTAGATATTCTTTAATTAAATTATAAATTAATTAGATTATAATTATTATAATTATAAATTATATTAACTTCTCATAAATTCAATTATTACGATAAAAGTGGTTTGGTAATCTCGTAACTATGGAATGGTAATTAATCATTATGCATCTATAAATAATTGTGTTTATTTTTTTTTGGTGAGTATTTTTATTAAATGAAAATACATTTGAAACCCAGGTGGGATCACCTTTGGCTTAACGAAGGCTTTGCTACTTGGGTTGGATACCTTGCTGTGGACAAGATCTTTCCTGATTGGGATATCTGGACTCAGTGAGTTTTATTATTGTTATTAATTTGGATATTCCTTGTTAAATTGTCAATAAATAAATGTTATGTTAATAGGTTTGTTACGGAAGGCTTTCAACGAGGACTTCAACTTGATGCCTTAAGATCCTCTCATCCTATTGAAGTTCCCGTAAATGATCCTAGGTATATATATATATATACACATATATGTATAATTATTATTATTTATTTGTACATATATTTGTTATTATTTATTTGTACATATTTGTTATTTATTTATTTGTACAATGCTTAAATTAACAAATAATACTTTATTTGCATTAATAGTGAAATTCATCAGATTTTTGATGCTATAAGTTACTACAAAGGTGCATCTGTCATCCGCATGTTGAGTAGTTACATAGGAGTAGATGTTTTCTTATCCGGAGTTAGACGATATTTGAAACGTTACGAGTATAGTAATGCTAGCACTGATGATTTATGGAAAGCTTTAACCGAAGAAAGTGGAACCGATGTCGGCCAATTCATGACCGGGTGGACCAGGGTTGTTGGTGTATGTGCATTTTATATAAATTTTGTAAGCTTTGAAAATATTGTTATTAATATTAAATATTATAAATTATATAGTATCCTGTTTTGACTGTTACTGAACATGCCAATAATAAATTACATATATGCCAATCTCGTTTCCTTTCAACTGGAAAACTCAATCCTGATGAAGATACTACACATTGGTGGGTGCCACTGGGAATAAGCCTTGGACCTCATTTTAAAGATGAATTGGAATCTAAAGTCCTTACTACAAAAGAAACTGAGTTGAGCTTGCCACACGGTGCTGATTTTTATAAATTTAATTCTCGTGTAACTGGTATTTTCCGTGTAAGTTATACACCTGAACGATTGGCAAAATTGGGTCATGCTGTCAAGCAAGGTTTACTTGATACTAGTGACCGTGTCGGATTAGTTGCTGATGCTGGTGCTTTGGCGACAAGCGGTTATGCAAAAACGAGCGGTTTGCTAAATCTTATTAATGAATTCGATAAAGAAGATAAATATATGTAAGTTAATGAATTATTTTATAAAATTGGTTTAAATATCATGTCATATATATCGCATATATTTATGAAATTTTTATTTTATCATTAGTGTATGGTTGGAGATTAATTCTCGTATAACGGATCTCTTAAGCGTGTGGTTTGAACAACCTGAGCCTGTATACCAAGGACTTCTAGCCTTTCAACGTCATTTAGTTTCAAAATTAGTACCTAAATTAGGTTGGGAATATCCCGAAAAAGAGGACTATTTAATCACTATGTTGAGAACTTTAGTAATTAAAGTTGCTGGAAGATCTAAAGATCCTGAGTAAGTTTGATTTGTTTGATTTTTATCTGTTTTACTGTTTATAATATTATTTATGACAAACAAATATTTTAAATATTTTAGGGTTGTTAAGGAAGCATTCCGTAGATTTGAGTTGTTTACAAAAAAAAATGACAAATCTGCCTTACATCCTAATATTCGTGGATCCGTCTACGAAATTGTTCTTGGTAATGGTGGTGGTGCAAATGAATTTGATGCAATTTTGAAAATCTATCGCGAAGCCGATACTGTAGATCAAAAACTTGTCGCTTTAACTGGTCTTGGATTCGCTCAACATGAAGATTTGATTAAACGTGCTTTAAACTTTTCCCTATCAGAGGAAGTTAAGAACCAGGACATTATTTATGCATTCTCTGGGTGAGAAATTTATAAGTTTTAGTTATTAGTAATCTATTCGTAATTTATTCATAATATGTGGTGATTAAAATTTTCCTTATTGTATATTTTACAGCCTGCAGTTCAATCGCAAGTCGCGAAGGGCACTGTGGAGTTTTATTAAAGAAAATTGGAACACTGTATGTTTTTTTTTAATCAAAATCTTTTCTATATATATATATATGTATATATATGTGTGAATATTTGTTTACATATTAATATTTGGCTTAATTACAGTTCCATGAACGATATGCAAATTCTCTTAGCTTATACGCAGCTATAATTAAATATGGTACCGATGCTTTTTCAACTGACGCTGATCTCAAAGATGTTGAAAACTTCTTTTCTAACAAGAATACTAAAGACTATCTAAGACCTTTACAACAAAGTCTAGAAAGCATTCGTGTCAATACTGCTTGGTTAACACGTGATAAAGAGGATGTTGAAAATTGGTTGAGAACTAATGGATATTTGCAATGACCAAAATATTAATGTAGTTATTTGCATGTGTTAATATTATTATGGCAGTTTTATGTAGATAAGTTTTTCTATTGTTTCAGAAAACCGTTTAAATAAAATTCATGCTGTGTGGAAGTGATAAAACGTTTACTAAATTATATATAGCCTTTACTTTCACTTAAATAAAAATATAATTTACAAGATAATTAATACAAGGTGTTTTTCCTGTCCAATGGATAATTTATACTATAAAATTTATGATTCTTAAATACTAGTAAACAAACATATTACATTTTAAACTACAGTATAATACAAATAATAAACGCTCAAACTTTGCTTCATGAATACTATCATTTTCAAAATTTAATTGATTTGATTACAACTTGCACAAATCAATTTAGGTGCTCCATCCTTGACAAAAGCCTTAAACTCAGTTGACCCACAGGAACATTGAAACTGTTGTCCATTTTCACCATCGCCATTAACTGAAACGTCTGCACTTATATTACTTGTTGCAGAATAAATACTCGATGCATCGCTTTTTCTTCTTCTTCTTCCTCTACTTCCAGATTCTTGACTTTTTGGTTTTTTGGCGAAGAAATTATTTAAATTAGAACCAAGCGATGAATTCCAAGACCTTTATTAGAAAGAAAGAAAATTTTACTAATTATTAAATTTGAAGACACAAGAGCCAATGATCTTTGTTAAGGAAATATTTCATAAACAAAGATTCCACATAATAAGTGAAATTTTATTAATTTTTAAATATACTTTCCTTGTGCTTCTAAAAGAGACCGAATCAGAATCACGAGAAGGGTAATAAGCGCAATCTTGCCTGAAAATTTTTATACTTCCAGTATAATCAGCACAAACAATTATATTGCCATCAGGATAAGTTTGACTAGCTGAATTTTCATTATTAACAGTATGTGCAAAAATTGGATCACCACAAAGACTAATTAATTGTTTTGTACGAGTAGGTGCAAATATGGCGACTGTTACTATAGCGGAATGTGCTGTATTAGGAATAATAAGATTTAGCATGAATTGATACCTAATTCTTTATGCAAAATGAATATGATTACACATACACTCAAAATTTTCATAACCACACTTTTCTTTTTTTAGCCAGTTGCTGCCATTTCCATTGCTTGAATTTATGCTAGACTGATCTGTGTTAAAGATATATACATGTCTGTCTTCAGAACCAGATATAATATAACGCCCGTCATCACTATATAATGATTAAATTTTTAATAAGCCTGAAAACTTTAAACGATCAATTACATATGGTATTCACCTAAACATGGCCCGGATTTGACTACTGGTATTTTCAATTCCTTTAAATTTGCATTCCAAAGATTTATCCCGCATATTATATAATCTAATCCTTGAATCATTCGAGCTTATCAATAACTGATTGACAAGAAATTTCGTTAAAAACTTTATAATTGTTAATAATAACATTGCTTATAATAACTCACCTTTTCTTGGCCAGGAAGAGTTCCTGGCATTGACTCAATTCCAGTTATTTTTTTGCCCTGTGAATTTTTGCCACGCGCACTTTTCACATGAATTTGTGTATTATATTTCAACCCATCCGTTTCATAAAAAAGACATTTTCCGGATAAACTTCCTGCAACAGCCATTTTACCGTCAAGAGTAAAACCAACGGCAGTAATTAACTGAGAATCGCTAAGCTCATTCCAAGAGGCGACTTTTTTCTCGGGTATGTTCCAAAGACGTAATCTGCAGTCCAATGATCCCGAAAGGAAAAATCGATCATCCTAAATTATAAATATGATTAATTATTGTTGCAGAAGATGCTGAGATTGACTGATGCTGAAATTCAGAACTATTTTTTATTATAAGATTTAAATTTTTTTTTGTTTTAGGTTTAAGTTAGAATTTGGGATTAGATTACTAATATGAGTGTATAGGTGGATTTTAGTGGGTATTATAGATTTAAATGAAATCCTAGATTTCAGCGTCAGCAAATTTCAGTATAAGCTATCACAATTATAATACCGAAACAGTGCAATGCATAAGATCAAATGGTATGACTTTATGATATAAACCTTTGGATGAAATTTAATGGCCGTGACAAAGTCAGTATGCTGAAAGCAGCACAGGCATTCTTTACGAGTCATGTGCCACAATCTGTAATTAAATATTAAAGCCATCAAGTTGTTGACAAAAGCATACTCTACATGACTAAGGAAAAATATTAAATTAGATGTATTACCTCACGGTCTTGTCCATTGATGAAGAAAGTAAGAAGTTGTTCTAAACAAAATTACATTCGACATATCATTAATCATCAAATAATGTGATAATAGAATAATACACGCAAGATGGTATTTGTCCAACCTTACTCCAACTCAGGTCTAATATATCAGCCGTATGCCCGCGATATTCATACAATGGTTTATCGCGAAAAACAGGAGCTCCTAGTTTTGCACCACTGATACCTTCATATACACTCGTCCCACTTCCCTCAAGAAAATGCTCCCGTTCTTCGTCACTTGAGATAACAGCCCACACCCTAACAACAGTATCTTGACCACCTGTTGCCAAGAACTTTCCGTCCTTGCTGAATTTCATAGACCAAATAGCACCAGTTTTAAAATCGGTCAAACCGTCATCATCACTAGAAAGTGGATTATACAATTCTTGGGCAAGAAAAAGTCGATCAAATTCTTTAATTGGTTTGTTTCGTGCTCGAGTCTATTTAAAAGAAAAAAAAATTTTAAATACATGACGATAAATGAAAGGCTGATATATTATTACGTTATATTACTTTTATGTATCGAGGCTGAGCACGTCCAAAACCATCTGCATTTTCGGAAAATACTGGTGCAGTATTTCCGGTAATACCGTCGTCTTCATCCCCACCCTCGTCAATATTTTTGTCATTTTTAGAATTAGGCGTTCGTTTTAAGCGACTTAAAAATGATTTTCGTCTGAATAATACAAATCAATATATGAGTACTGATAACGCTACTATCAACATAGATTACCCTGATAGACAACATGATCATACCTATTAGGTTTGTCTTCAGTAGTATTAATGTCCTCATCGCTTATGCTTCTTGTGTGATTTTCATCATGATTCATTTCTGTATCTGAACCTGTCCGTTGCATTATGTGAAAAGATAATGGATCAATATTTCCATTTGATTTTTTAATTTCTTCTTCAAGATCGGATGCTGGTATTTTCTTGCCAGTATCCAAATCTTTAACATAAACAGTGACATCAACAGGTTCATCTTCGTTATCCGTTGTCACATCACTATCAACTGAATTAAAATTTATATATAGTAAATATATATCTGAATTGAATGATAAAGGAATTAATTGTAAATTATTTTTAAATTATTTACTTTCAGGTATAGTAACATGACCATTTTCCTGATCCTTTGTTAAATCTGATAACTCTTTATTATCTTCATAAGACATGTCAGTCACAGAGATCTGAGGAATTTCTATGGCTGCTGGCTTATTTGAAAGAGTTGGATCCGGTTGAACACTATCATTATTAGAATTGTTCGACTCTAATCCATTGATATTATCCGAAGATATTGTAGTGGTCAGAGTATTTTGGTCAAGTGATTCTTCGGCATCGACAAAAACTTCGGTGTCACTTTCGTTGTCGGATCGGTGAGAAGACATTATTTTAGATTTAATATTGTATATGTTTGAGAATAAACCGTTAAAAACCTCGAATTATATAACGTTTCGACGAAGAACCAGTACAAATTTGGTTACTGGGTTTAAGAAGAAAGTTTTCATGGCAAATTACGTATTTTCGTAATCATAATTTATAAAAAAAACAATCTCATTGACGATGAACCCAATTCGGAAAACTGGCGACAAGATTGTACCATTATTTGTTTTTAAGCATACAAACTATAACGATAATGAAATATAATTATTAACATCAAAAAACCCATTCATTCTAATATTATAAATTTGGAAAGAGTACATTTTATGCATTGTTAATAATATACCATATATCTTAATAACAAAAAAATTATTTCAAAGATACATTATTCAAAATTAATTTTTTGGTTTCATAACCTGGCTAGGTCAACATTAACAATGTTTTGACTTTTACATATTAGTAAATTGAATTTGAATTTGTAAATCGAGCCGCTCGGACATGGCTATTGGCCAATAGCTAGGATTGTAATATTAACTTTGCATGTCCTTATTGGGGCTCTCGTACGTAGCAAAAATCATTAGCGTTAGCAAAAATAGCTAGTGAAATTAACAAATTTAGCTTATAAATTTATACGTATTTATTAAGTATAAATTTTAATGTATCACTATTTTAGATGCTAATGTTAAACACTTGTTACTAATTCTACTATTATATATTAACGTTCTTTACGTTTCAAAATCTCAACATAGCTTAGAAATCGCTTTATCTATTTCTAAAAAAAAAAGTTGTACTTTTAGTTTTTTTTCAATAACCCAGCTACATTCAACGTTTTAGTAATTACACATCGTTCTATAGTTGCGGTATACTTAAAATTTCACCTCTAAGTACCTCTAGGTGTGGGATTATTTGGGATTATTTGGGATTATTTTGTATAGTAACTATTGGTGCTTCTTCGAAGTTAGAGACGGGTTTAATTTTTATTTTTTACTTGTGAAATGTTACATTCTTAATAAGTACTTTAAAATGTATAAATACAATTATAAGTGATTGGCCAATCAGAAGAAAGTTATCCTATATCGTAGTGTCTAGGGATGTTAAAAGTCCAACTCGATTCCAAAAGTCGGCATGATCAGTGTAACGTTTATTATTTACGTAGATAGTCTAACAGCTAAAGCCAGTTCTGCAGTTACGTACGTACGTATCTACATATATACGTTTTAAATTGATTATTTGCCAATTAAAAGTCACATGAAACATATTATTTACGGTGCAGCAGTAACAATTTTAATTGATAATAACCAGATAACTAGATAACCAATATCGATATAACACGTTAAATACAATATTTTTTCGAAGCACTTTCGCTGGAAAATAGTCGAAAAAAATTTAGAAGAGTTATTAGTTCAGACAATTGCTAAATACTTAGATGTTAACAGATCTTCAATTTCAAAGATATGGATGTGTTGAAAGATTTCCGCCACTCATAAGAAAACCACGTCCACTAAACTTGAACGGTATAAAATATTTTAAGGCTTTAATGGAAGGAAGAAAGCCTGACTGGTATTTTTATGAATTACAATCAGAGATGGAACTTTGGTTAGGATGTTCGCTTAAAGCCTTGTTTTATTTTCAAATCGATTAGCGTTAGTAATCAATTTAAAATATACGTACATACGTACATATGTATGTACTATCTATGTAAAGTTATGCCGAAGTCAAATCAGCCAAATAATCATTCGGTCAATTTTTTACTACTGTAGATGTTCCAAAATTTATGAGAACAGCTGTCATTCCCGAGTCAGACTTGGAACCAAACTCTGCATTTCATGTGATATTTGGTCATGACATATAGATGCTGGTGAAACTAAATAATGCTGGTGAAACTGGTGACTATCTAAAATCTGATTGGTTGTTATATTAAAATTTACCAGTTTCACCACAGCATCTATACCTGTGACTATAACTATATAACAATTTTAATATAATCTCTAATTTAAAGCAAGTTATATTTTTAATTAATTTTTTTGTTTATTTTATGATAAAATATTAGTCTTCATCCAATTATTCAAGTATAATGAAGCTCTAGTTGATTGTTCAAAAAGACAGCTTTGTATAAGATTGTATGCTTTATGATAGAAAAAACATGCTTATACAGAATACTCATAACTTGAAGTGCATAGTAATATTTAAAATCTTTAATACTGATATTACAGTATCTGACAAAAGTTTTTTTGCATCTGTAATTTCCAAAAGAACAGGCATAGCAGCATGAAATTTCATACAGGGATAGTATATTACATATGCTAATCATATTAACTTTTCACAGCAGGATAGATAATAAAAATACATATGCTGCTTATACATCCAATTTTTAATCAAAAAAATGCCTTTTCTTTTATATTAATGATATGAAATTGTATTTTTAGCTATCCACCTAAAGGGTTCTAAGTTCTTAATACATAAGACAACAAAGCAGATTCACTGTAATGAAAAAGCAGTGAAATATTAGATAAAAGGTAGTGAGAAGACAAAGACCTAATTGACAAAATAAGGTCAGATTGTAAAAAGGCTACTATCCAAAACAAGACAAATAGATTTTAGGGATGGCAAAAAAAAAATGAAGATATTGTTAGTAACATAACAAAAATCAGGTGATTTTTTAGGGGGGAGGTGGTAAAAATTTTAAAATTATATATAAGGATCTGATCAAGATATATATTAAGAGAGAGGAAGGGGGGGTAAGCTTCTGATAAAAAAAAATCAGGTGATAAATGACATTGCCTTTATAAACAGTTTTATTTTATTAGTTTATTATTTTATCTTAGTATTATTTTATTATTTCAAAATTTGTATTTTATTAGTTATTAGTTATTATTTTTTTTTTTATATAATTCAGCTCCTGTCTCTGTTTATTTGAGATTAAGCTATTCAAGAATTATATATTTCTATCTGTAGCTATTACTAATCTAACCAAACTAAAGACTCATCCCTAGCTTTTGCCTAGGTGTGATCTGCTTTAGTAGTCCTTGGCCTCTCTTCAGATTCTTAACTTACTAAGGATTTATTTTCCTTTAGTCATTGGCTAGCAACTACTGCCTTGTTAGTACTACCTAATTGTCCGGAGTGAAGCAGAGGACTCATACTTCTATGCACTTTGATGACTGAAATTACGATTGTGATGCATCTATAATAAAAAAATCAAAAAAGTAGTTTCAGCATTTTCTGTCTGTAACGCTGCATATCTATATTTGTACATTGTGTAAAAAAATTATACACGTTTACGTGTTTGTGTAAGATGACAATAATAAGCTCCAGACTTTAACTGGTTTCTGGTTCCTAGTTATATTTATATTCCACAACATAATTGCACTTTAGCTATAGCCAGTACTTGCGAACAATGCAAAGCATCGAATCGCTAATCTTAAAATAAGATTATTACATTGTATATTCTCTATTCTATAAATTCTAAAAATTTTATTATTACTTAATTCTTTCTGTTATCCCAATTCATCTTTTCATACTTCATCTCTTTCCTTTCTACTAGTAGTCTGCTCTGGCACTTCAATTTTCTACTTTTTTTCTTCTTTTTGTATTTCTTCCAGTTCCTAAACTTCACCTTATTCTTCTTGCTCTTGATCATATTCTTTATACTGATTTCCTTCAGAAGTATTTGTCTGCAACTTTTTCTTTCTTCTAGTTTCTTCAATATTACTTTTGATTCTTCTACTTCTAGGTCTTGGTTAATTTGTCCAGATCTTTTTTTTCTCTTTTGTCGAAACTTTGTGCTTTCTTTCTTTCTTCTGTTCTAAAGTCTTATATTTCTTTTAATAAGTATCTTTTGGAATCTTATATACTTCTCTTTATCTTTTGATCTTTCTAAAAACCTCCTTACTGTTTTCAATATAAACTTTTTCTTTTTTCTCTTCAAATTCTTGACTATTTAGAGCTGCATATCTGCTTTTTCTTTCCTATTCCATAAGTTTGCTTTACTTCTGTATGGCTTCTCTTGCAGTTTAAAGTACTTCTCTTGATTTCTGGCTACTTTTCTTATATTTCTTCTTGCTATTCTAAACCTGTGTTTTTCTTTTTTCTTTTTTAATTCTTGACTTCTATTGTTCTCTCTGTTACTGCATTTTGTATGATATTATCTTCATTTATACTAGTGTTTGTTAATAATCTAATTTATCTACTCTATTTGTCTATAATTTCTTTTTTCTTCTTTTTCTAATTTTTAATATTATCTTGTCTACTTTCTAAGTTTACTTGGTATATAAACTTTGCTATCTATCTTAGTATTTTCTTTCATAGATTTTTGATTTGTATCTTGACAGAGTTTTCCTCTTTATTAAAGTTAATGCCGGAATTTTTATCTTGATTCTTTGATTAGTTTTCTAATATTTCCTTCTCTATGAGGCCTTCAATATCTCTTTCTGTGTTTTTTCTTTAATATTTCTTCTTTTTCTTTAGCTTCTTTATATTTTTGTTTTAGCAGCTTTGCTTTCTGTCAAACTTGCATCTTCTTTATTTCTTTTCTAATTTTATTTTTTCTTTTTTTTTTGTGTTGTTTTATTTTCATTAATTCTACTAATTCTCTAAAGTGCTGTAATAATAGTCCAAATATTATTTTATTATACTGCCTTTGTCAGCACTTTTTCTGTTTATCTAGTCTTTTCATCTATCCTGTTTCTATTTTAGCTTTTACATGCTCGGTGGCCAATCTTTCTTTATTACGTGTAAACAGCCTTTCTCTTTCTGCTGCACATAGGTTTCTTATAGTACTGGTTACTTCATCTAGTAGGATGTGTTCTGTTAGGTTGATTTCTAACTGTATCGCCTCTTGATATACTGTATTATTTCTTTTCTTAAATACAAGTTTTGTATATTTAATTCTTTCTGCTTTATGTTGTCTCAATTTTATATGTATTGCTGCTATTCGTTTCTCTGCTTGTTCTGCTGTTGTAGGTTTTGTTCTAGCATTTTCTATTGTTTCTTGTTTCATGTAACTGAT